TCATTTGGTAACATAATTATATTACTAGTAGCCATATGTATCGTAACTAAAATCGTCCCAACGAAAAATTTTATTCTTATAATATTTGTACCAAATATTAAGATATTTGTCACAAAAAACTTAATCATTATTAACTTCTTCTTGTTATTTTGTATACGGTAGCTTCTTTTCAAATTTATGGTTCATTACCTTGTATTATAAATTTATTTTAATTGCACCTTCACGTTATTTATAAAAGATTTACTCACATAACTGATTTCTTATAAGCCAACGTATTTTATAAAATAAGTCTTAACAGTGCACAAGGAATATAACGTGTAACTGCGTAAATTATCAGAAAGATACAGATTTATGACCGAAAAAATTATTAAACGTGAAAAAATTTGGTTTCTTAGATATTCATATATGCATAAGCTTAACTGACTTCCACATAAGTTGCAACAAATTTCTTTTTTTTTTATTGAAAAGCAACAAACAAATACTGTATCATTTACGTTCTGATGTAGATATTTTATTCTGATTGGATATATATTTTTGTGACTTATTTTTAAATATATATATATATAAAACTTCACGGTCAGAAAATTTTACTATGATTTACAAAGTTCCACAGAAAATGTATTTAATTTTTGAATACTCCTGAACATGATGAAAGTTATTTGGTTGGGACTTCAGTTTGTAGAACATGGACCTGAGAGTCCTAATGTGGACCAAGGATCTGGGCTTCAAATACCATTCAGACTAAGCTCTTAGCATCATGATTCGTTATAATGTGCAAGCATAAAACTAACTTTATAAATATCATTTTTTGCGATATATAACGTCAAAGTTTATTTTTATTTTATACCTGAAATTTGTTAGCACGTTTAAATAAATAATTCGCTTTATTCAAACTACCCTTTATAATCATAATTCCTTTTTTGAAACTATGTTGCGACTGAAATCTAAATTTGACGAGGTTGGTTATCTAGAATGTATTCGTAACCACCAACAGGGAACAATATAATACTTGAAGTATCATAGAATCAGTACAAACTTATTTCAATGTGGAGAATCTACCTTACAATAAGATATTTCTACATTAAATATCTATTCTACTGTAACATTTATACAAGTTATAACATGATACTATCATTTTAGAATAACGTGTGAAGTGTTGATGTGTGTTTAGTGATTATTGATTCGTACTTTGACCTTGCTTTTTAATCAGTTTGGAGATAAACATTTTGTAGTAACGAAACTTTATCAAAGTGGAATATGTCTGCTATCTTTATGCCCCCACTCTCCGATGAATCAGTCGTAAGCGTGAGAACTTCTCTCGTTAACTTTGATGTTCAAACCCTCCCCTGGTGAGCACAGAACATATAGCCCATTGTGGGTTTGGTTTAACACCCCTTGTTCTTTTTCGTTGTAACTTCACTGACATGTTGTGAAGATTGAGAGACACGTACGAAAGCTTATATGATTAAAGCAATGCACAAAAAATGCAAATAAAAAGGAGGCTTTTGTATTTAGTACAACATCATTTAGATACTAAGAGGAGATCACTTGACATTTGAAAAGTTACTATTCAAGATTTTATTGTTAAGATATTCTTCAGTTTGCAATCGAATGATACAAAGACTGACAAATAATAGACATTCTAGTTTATTCTCGGAACAGTAGGTCAGAAATAAAAAAGGCTTGGCATATTTCCAAAGACATCAAAGGCTGGTTGTTAAATCGTTACGTCTCCACATTACATTCTCCTTCTGGGATTTTGTTGCCTTCGTTACTTCTTAATAAACGACCAAGTATTAGTCTTTGTATCTTTGTTAACGTAGCGCATGAATTGTTCTCAGAGTTAACATTTCCGTTCTCACTGAATTGCAACCGTCCGTGAGAATAAGTAAAATTACTCCAAGAATAAAGATAAAAAATAAGAACTAGAATACAATCTGGACAACCCTCTTCTCTTCAGTTAGTAAAGTTAGAGTGTTGAAATTAAAAATCGACGAAGCAGTATCAATACTGCCATGAAAATAAGGTTGTTTTCTGTAGTTTAGTGTCTCGGCTAAAGCAAACCCTGGTAACAATACGGATCTAGACGGGTCATTCGGTTTTATTCACTGTGATTATTCTGTTTTCAGTGTACTTATTAGATTCACTAGTTAAAATCAACATATTTATTACCTTTATATCCCTATCAATCATTTAGTTTTTGTTGTTATTTTCTTAGTGCAAAGCTACATAATGGACTGTCTTCACTCTACCCACCAAGGGGAAATGAACTCCGGATTTTAGCGTTGTAAGTCCGTCAATTTACCGCCGACAGAGAAGGCATTTATTGAGTAATACTTTTGACAAGTTATCTGTTTAGTTTTTGGTCGTAAAAGAGTTTGCGTTTTATTACTCTAACCAAACATTTACACTCAACTGGTTAGTGTTTTTGAATAATAATAAATGTTTAAGTTACTGGTTAATGACCAAAAACTTTGCTTGCGTTAGTCTCAAAGTTTATATTGTTTTGCAATCACAAGCTCAACTCCACCTTATCCAACACTATAATATATCATTTGTGGAAGCACCTACTCCATGATGTTAATTGTATAAAATAAGAAAATATATTAATCTTCAAATTGAAGATAATACTCCTATTTCAAAAGACAAGTAATGAAAACCCATAATATACTTCTAGAACAAATGAACTCTTACGGTTACTTTCATTGAAATTTTTAAGCAGTGCAATGCCCATTAAGTTGCAAAATTCTTAATGTGTATAATGTTACGTATAGGAAATTTGAAACGTCTAAAAACGAGCTAAATAATACTTTAAATTTAGTAGTTAAATTGTACTTTGGATTTAGTAGTTAGATAAAA